CTACCGGGAAGCTCGGTGGGGGCCGATGTGAGCTACTGTCAGCGGCGTGATTATCGGGTGTAACCGTCGGTCCCGAGATTACCGGGTGTAACCGATGGTCCCGAGATTACCGGGTGTAACCGTCGCGAGATTAACGGGACTACCACCCATAAGTAGAGGACCTCACTCCACGATCAGGTACGATGATTTCTGACCTCGAACTAAACTGGGAATCCGACCTATACTGACTTGATCATCGGAGTGCTCACCTTTTTGTGCAGGTCCGCCCAAGTATATAGATCGGTCCGGAGACCGAGTTCGAGTTGCAATCAGAAATACAATATTGTGCATATCCTTCCATAAACAGATACAATCATTATATTGGTCATTAGAGTGGGATAGGAAGACGATTTGATCAAGCTGAACGTGGCGAAAACGATAGGCCTTCTGACGGTTATCGTAGATCGGCTCAAACAATGTGCACGACCATTTCGAGATGTCCTCGTTTGCCTCATTGGCAGTGGCGACAATGTAGTTGGACTTGGAAGACTGACGAACCCAATATTTGTTATTGTAACAGCATCTTACGTGCACGTATCCTTTTCCGAGGTCGGAGTACTCGACCTCGAATTTGGTATATGGGCTGACAATTCTCTGGCCGGAGAAGTGGAGGAACCCGCCAATTCGGTCGTCGTCTTCGTTAATGTAGCGGAGATAGTTGGTGTTGTGTTTGGATTTGAGGGCGAAATACCTTGGGATTATGTTTTCGCCATCTTCTTTCTGTGCTATCGTTCTGTACATGTCTTCCAAGCTTTCTTCTTCTTTCTGTGTTGCGTTTCTGTAAATCTCTTCCAACATTTCTTGCTCCCGCTTAGCCTTCATTAGCGCTGCCGACAGCATCTTGTTGATCTCGGTGTGTAATACTCTCTAAACTCTTTGGTATGTTCAGCACTATTTATGGAGTGCTGTTTTGGATCTTGGGATTTCTCTCTCTCTTTGCATGCGAGAGAGAACTTTAAAAATAATTTTGAAGGTTATCAGTTAAGATAAACAATTATTATTTTTTTTTACACGAACTTTTTAATTTTAAAATAACTTAATTTTTTGCTTAATTTATTTTTAATTATTAGTGTACTTAAAAAAATCAGTATTATAATTGACTTTTTAAATTTTCTTTTATATAACAACAAAGGTTTGTTTAACACATGCAGCTCATAGCAAGGAGTAAAAATAATTGAAAAATAGTAGGCGACAAGGAGGAATCTTGTCCTTACCACCATTAAATGTTTGATAAAGAAATATAAAAATATTGATTCTTTTTATGAATAGAATGAGTTATCGTCAAATCGAGCATAGCTTAGCGGTAATTGATATACATTTTCCACCTCTTCGGATAATAACAACTATTACCAAACACATAAAACGAAAAGCAAGTATATATTAATTCTTTTTCTCTTAGGTTTTTCTTACCATTAATTATCAATTTTGGTTCATAAAGCATAGATAGCACATATAATTAAGCTCAAAACATAACCAAAAGTAAGACAACACATCATTTTATTTCTAGTAATTACAACACAACTACGAACTCCAACCATTACAAGAAACACACAAGAAGTAAAAAGCAAAGATGCATGAGTTCTCTTTTACATTTATTTAACAAAATTCACTCAATTAACCCCAAAGGTACACACATTGAGTGAATTTTAACTGAACACAGAAGTTAAAAACCAAACCTCTAACACCTCACGCCACAACTTCTTCCGCCACAAACTGAAAGTTGTAGCTATTGATCCCGGTAAAAATACCGTCGTCGAGGCGCTGAATAACCGCTCTTCCATCCATCAGCCTATCGCGCTGAGTATACGAGAAAGGAACATCACAAGTAGCTTGAGTTGCCATTATACCAGCCTTAACTTTGGACCGTGGAGCAACAATGATGTCGTGAGTAACCTCTATTATATTCTTGTTCTGCTGCGTTTCGCCCCACGCATGTTCTTCGCCAATCTCAGCTGAAATTTCAATCTCGCTTTCACCAATCAAAGGCACACCAGTTTCGAGTGTGACTTTAACCCCAAGGTTTGTGGACACAGAAGAACTCCAAGTTTTCGTTACGGTGTCTTCATACAACAGTTTCACGCTTACCTTGTCGGCGACATCCTTAAGATTCTCGACAACTCCGCTGGTCACGACGATGGGTTTCTCATTATAGATCCTGGCATCGGAGAGGCGAAAATTGGTGTTGTAAATGTCCCTGGAAAGCACCAACTCAGTTACTTCGAATTTCGCCGCGTCGGTGATATTGGTGAGGCAAGCATTGAGACAATCATCCTTCCCATCTGCTGTGATACTCTTGACGAAGTGATTGTTGCCCTTGCAGCGCAGCGCCACAGCGCTGTCTCCAACTTTGACAGGCCAAAACAAGGTTTTGTCGTCACTTTTGAGCATTATCCAATTGGGGTCATAACTCCAGAACTTGTTGTAAGGGACATTTCTTATGCGAATATGGCCATCTGGGGTGGACAAGATTTCATGTTTGAGTCCTGGGTCTGAGACATCTGAGCCTGAGGATTGGACGTAGATGTTGCCACCAATGTGTTCATGGGGTCTTAAATAGTGGCCGTTTTCGTCCTTGAAAGCTACATATTTGGGGAGAATGCAAAGGGAGTTCCAATCCACCGCGGTTGCTAGATCGGATCGATCCCTTTCTGGTGTTGAGCTTTTTGCGAACACACAGTTTCTGTGTGATCCGTAAGCTTGGGCGTGCAGGTGCATGTTGCGGTCGAGATGAACGTTTCGAAACCGAAAGGCACCTGAAATGTTAAATGTTTTGAATTAAATGATAGTTTAATATGGTACTCAGGTGGCAGGGAAGGACGTAACCCGTTTGGTAACGTTTACCTCTTGTTCTTGGTCTTCTCTTTTTCATTTCTTGTTTCTTATTTTTTAGTAAAGAAAAATAAAGCTGTGTTGAGCAACTAGTAACTCTTTCTTGTCTCTTGCTTGCTTCTCGTCTATTCTTCTCATTCGCCTTTTCTCTTTTTAACAAAGAAAAATATAACTGTGTTTGGTAACTCTATTTTATTTATTGTTTCTGGTTTACTATTTTTTATTTTTGGTTTTCTCTTTTTTTTTTTAATAAAGAAAAACAAAAGGTAACTTTTTTTAATACTTATTCTTTATTTTTTATCCATTAAACATAAACATATTTGGTAACTATTTTAGTTTGTTTTTTTCTCTCTAACGTTTTAAATTAGAAAACTAAAAATTTTATATGAAAATTAATTCTTCTTAACTAAATATTGAAAATTTTTATGTTATATTTATTATGTATTTTATAGGTCAAACATGATAAACTAATATTTTTATTTACGCTTTTAAAAAAATTAGAAATGAGAATAAGAAACAAGAAACTTTATCTCATTGTTTTACAGTAATTTTGAAAATGCTTCCAAAAAATGAAAAACAAGAAGTATACACAATGAACAAATGCTTATATATTTTTTTAGCAAAAGAATGTCTAAAAACGAGAAACAATAAACATTATCAAACAAAACAGATCCTTAACTTATAATATCATTTCCTTCCCAATTAATATCGAGATTCAAGAGTTGAATATCGGGCTAATTAATTTCCAAATCCCCAAGGAGAGGAGAGAAGAGAGAGTAGATAATTGTTAAAAAAAGAATATTTTACCAAACCAAACAGACCAGTAACTTAATTATAATATCATTTCCTTCTCAATTCGAGTTCAGATCCCGAATTAGGAGATTAGAGAGTAGATTATTGTAATGGTGGTAGGTACCTTGCTTATCATCGAAAATGGGCCTGAATAAGGTACAAGTGTATTTGGTCTGATCTTCATCGGTTGTTTTGGCTCCGGCGACAATATAATGAGACGATTGAGAGCTCAGAACCCAATATTGGTTGTTGTAACAGCATCTTATGTGCACCAATCCCTTCCCAACTTTTGAACTTTCGATCTCGAATTTTGTGTATGGGCTCACCGCTTGATCTGCGCAGAACTGCAGATATCCGAACAACTCATCTTTCTCCCCACCAACGAACGACAGATATTTGTTGTTGGACACAGATTTCAGAGCGAACTGAACTGGCACTGATGGAGCTTCTGCTTCTTCATCCATGGCTGCCTATGTCTGCCTTCCCTCTCTCTCTCTCTGGTCTCAAGCTTCTGTGTTTCTCTCTCCCCCAATTGGCTCTGCAATTTATAGCCTCCCCATGAATTTGTTCTTTTTTATTATTTTGTTCCGTTAGGTGAGATCCATGTTGGGTTGTAAAAGATTGCAAATATAAAATCTCACGTTAGCTAGGAAATAGAGTCATCCATGATACATGTATAAGAGAAGATAATTATCTCTATTGATACGAGATCTTTTTGGTAATATCATTGTAGAGATAATTGGGATACGAGGTATCTTCTTATATATCTTCACATTTTTTAGAGTCCTAGAAATCTCCTTTCTCTAAAATGGCCAAACTTTTATATAGTGTAAGCATGGGTATAGGTTAAATTCAGTGTTAAAAAGATATCTATAAAAATGTATATTTTTTTATTTTTTTAAGAAAGAGATATCATTTGTGGATATGTGAGAAACATTAAAAGAAAAAAAAATGAGGCTTTAGATGAACAATAAAGTGAAATTGGTAGATATATCATAATTACAAAATAAAGGAGATGGAAGATCAAGATGACATTAGGATCTTGGAATCGTCCCATAGGTGAGAGTGTGATCTAGAGACTTCTGAAAAGATGCTATTCTTACGTTCCAGCCATATGTTCCACAGAACTAAGACCACTATATTGCTCCACATGATATATGTTCCTACGACATCTCAAAGGGATGGGTAAATAAAGCTTCCTTTATGAAGTCAAACACGTTATAGGAAAGAAGACCAATGTTGAAAGCGTCAAGAAGAAAGAGACCTATGTTTGAATTTGTAACCCATCACCTTAAATTTTTTGGTAATGGATAATTTAATATGATATTAGAGTTGGACATCCTACATTCGAAATTGTAGTATCATTTTCTCTCCGTTTGATATTGATTACCATTTATTTGACCTTGTGCAACTTTTGTCTTCACACGTACTTAATGCTTAAGGCTAGCTTATCACCTCTTTTTGCTGCGTTCTAAAAATGTGGCACATGTATCATTGTGATTTGATTTTCTTTATTTTTTTTATCTAATAAATATTTTGAAAACCACAAACATTGTGACTTGTAGTCAACAAGTTGTTTGAAAATTTGAGAAAAGGACAATGAAGGAGGTGTGTAATGTGAAGGTTTCAAATTGGATCATTGTGTGAAGCAATTCCAAGGAGTAGAGATAAACTAAGAAAATTTTGAATGGATAGATATATGTTTTTTTCAAAGTGGTCTATAGTACCTGTGTCATTTTTTAGTTCCATTCTAATTAATATCTCCAAAATTAAATTTTATCTTTTACTATTTGGAATTTTGTTCTCAAAACTAATTAAGTTCCTAGTGTCTGTAAAAATTTAAAAATATGGCGATCATTAATTTCTAATATAAATTTTATTTATTTTTTAATACAATATGGGAGGTGGGGATTCGAACTACTAAGTTGATTATATAAGGGTGCGGTTGACAATAATCATAACAATTAGTAAATAACACATATAACAATTCAATTACAATCATAGTAATCAGAGTAATTTACATATATTTGCACTATTGTTTTTTTAAATATAAGTTATACTTTTTTGGAATTTTTATTTTTATGTCTATTTAGTCACAAGTTTTCAAATCATTAAATCATCAATCAACCAAAAAAGTTTAAATTGATTGGGTTACAGTCAATTTGATCTTTAACATGCTTTGTTGTTCTTTTCAGCTCACCAATCTTAACCACATCTCATTTTTGAATTGCTGCTTGTTGGCCGGCTCTTATGCAATACCAATATTCATAGGGTTCAATCTTAAAACCAATTGGAGTTTAATGGTGTGTTTGGGAATGATGGTAGAATTATTGATTTTGTTAAAAGAGATTTAAGTATAATTGATTTTTCAAATCATCCCAAAGGGCCACCGACTCCTCACTGAGTGATAAAAAATAAAAAAAATTCAAATCATCATCCAAGTGATACCTTAAAAATCAATTCGTCTTGGTTGGAAATTCAGATTTTTTTTTCAAATGCACTAAACTGAATGGATTCATTGAATACGCGTTTGGTAGGGACTTGGGAGATTCGTTTTTTAAAACTGTTATTGAATTTCGTGATCCAAACGGTACAAATTCTAAAAACAACTTTTGTATGTTATCGGTATTTTCATATTCAAAATTTGAAATTTTTAAAATGCAGAATTACATTAAGAATGATAAAATTTTTTATAAATATATTTTTTCACATTATAAGTTCATTTTATGTTTGTTAAAATTAAAACATGTAAAATATAATGTATCTTAAATTATATAACCTGTAAAATAATAATTATACAAATTTCATAACAAATGTTAATAAATGAATTAATATAAATTTATATTAAACAACATATTTATTTATTTTGTAACTACTTATGGTTTACAAATATATTGCTATTGAACAATTTTTTAAATTCAAATTCAATTACCAAATCTGGTACCAAATACATATCTGAAAACAACTGAAAACAAAAATACAACTCTGTTTTCATTTAATCTTTTCAAATTTCTATTTTCTGCTTACCAACCAAATGCATCATATGCTTTCTTAAAATCAATTTTATAGTTTATCAAACATATGAAAGAGATTTTGACATGACAAAAATGATTTTAGCCATATCAAAATCATTTTCAAACACACCATTTATAGGTTGTTGAGAGTGGTGCGTTCTTTAGAGATTTGTTGAAGGGTTGTTCTTGTGCATCAATAGGACTTAGTTTGGTGCAAAACTTGGATTTCTAGGAAATGGGTTAGTTTTGAGACAACTTTACCTTCCAAGAGTCTCTCTTTGAACAGATATGATATGCTTGTCTGAATGAATCTGCTTGATAGATCTAAGAGACAAAGACAGAGAAGCAAAGAGAAAAGGACAAGAACAGCATAGATGGGGATCTGTTTAAAGGAGAGGGAGAAAAAAAAAAAAGAAGAAGAAGAAAGAGAAAAAGCTCTTGGAGAGAGAAAGCGACTTGGAAACAAAGCTCTTGGAGAGAGAAGTGAAAACTAATAAAAATACTTTTTGTCCACACTTTACCATGTTGTGTAATAAAAAATTTGTTAAAATATTATTTTGTTTCGAGTCAGTTGTGGTTCATTTAGATCCTCTAAACGTTGATCTTGGTGTATATACTTTTAACTTTAGTTCATTTTAATCTTTGTATTTTGAAAACATTCGTTTTGGTCTCAATATTTTTAAAAGATGGTCATTTTGGTCCCTGTTATTAAAATTTTAATACGAATTCTACATCTAATGGACAACCCTTTTATATAAAGTCATAGTTACACTTCAAGAAACATATTGTATGTAGTGTCGTGTTGAAATTGTGATAGAAAAAATATTTGATTAAAAATAAAATTAACGAATCAAAATGGTCACTTTTTAAGAGTATAGAAGAACATTTTGAAAGTATAAAGACTAAAATAAAGCAAAATTGAAATTATATCGACCAAAATTATTTTGACAAAAATGAACTAAAATTGAGAGTACATCAATTAAAATAGTGTTTGGGGAAGAGAATACCCTGGACACGTGGAGGACCTCTATTGGTGCTCCAAGATGACTCATGAGTCATGCCCAGCTCGGACGACCGAGATCACCACCACTAGCATTGACAGATGCTAAGTATGAGGGCCGAGGTGAACCTAGCCGAGGTTCGACCTACCGGGAAGCTCGGTGGGGGCCGATGTGAGCTACTGTCAGCGGCGTGATTATCGGGTATAACCGTCGGTCCCGAGATTACTGGGTGTAACCGACGGTCCCGAGATTACCGGGTGTAACCGTCGCGAGATTAGCGGGACTACCACCCATAAGTAGAGGACTTCACTCCACGATCAGGTACGATGATTTCTGACCTCGAACGAAACTGGGAATCCGACCTATACTGACTTGATCGTCGGAGTGCTCAACTTTTTGTGCAGGTCCGCCCAAGTATTCAGATCGGTCCGGAGGCCGAGTTCGAGCTGCAATCTAATATACACTGTTGTGCATATCCTTGCATAAACATTTGGCGCCGTCTGTGGGGACGACAATCTAAGTCATCCCAATCCTTTTAAACCAATACGCGAGCGAAAATGGTTCAACCAGCAAACTCGACCAATACGGCAGATCGAAGGACTCTAGCTGCCAGCGATGCCCACCAGAGGGAGGTCGGAGCAGCAGTGGTAGAGGGGCAAGGTCACGACGGCCTAG